GGGGGGGAGGAGCGTGTGTCAGATAATATACTTGACACATCGGGTAACAGTCGTCTGTGTTTCATCCCTTAGCTGTAAATACATTCGGAAGAAAATATGAGGATAGGAATTGGGATCATCAGTGCACCCCCCTAGCCGACCATGTATACTTCCATTTTACAACAGAAGTAAAGTAAGATGTAAGACAAAGAAGAGAAGGGGAAAGCGAAAAGGAATAAGAAAGAACAGTTGCAAAAAAGGATCGGCTATTAAACAAACAATTCTTGAACAATCGCTTTCGTTAGCGAACCAGATCCTTCGCCATCCTTTTTATCCAGATAACTCTTGAAAGAGGGAAACATTGATAGTTTTGGCTTTGAACAGTCACTCAAAAAATAGGAACTCTGGAAACATCCAGGAATCTGTAAATTCCAGAATATTACATTGCTAGACTGGTTTTTATGCGTTTTGTGCTGTGCAACAGCTGCACAAAATAAATATTGTCACGGGGTTGTCTGTGTGTATATGTGTGTGGATGTCTGTATGTGTTTGTGTATTTGTATGTGTGTGGGTGTGTGTGCGTGTGTGTCCGATGCATCTTGTTATTTTTATTTTTTCAAATTTAGAATGTTTTTTTTTTCCAGTATGGAAGAGATTTATTCAACAAAGGACGAATAATGAATGCAGCTTTTCGATTTGCTGAACGACTTAATGTAAGGTGTGTGATCTTTCACGATGTTGATATGTTCCCGCAGGATGATCGCAATTTCTATGGTTGTCCACCAACACCGCGTCATATTGGTGCTTACGTCAGTACTCTTGGATATCAGTAAGTTTTGACAAGTGATTTATTTCTTGTATCGATGATTTTTGGGAAAATTAGTGGCAAGGCCAGAGCAGATTGCTTCCGTTTGTTCATCTCGGAAGTGTTAGTATCGTCTTTTTTTTACGATTTTGCTAATTTTTGATGATGGGCATGCACACCCTTTGCTATTATTATGCGTTTTATGCTATGTAACAGCAGTACAAAACGCATATTGTCACGGGGTTGTCTGTGTGTGTTTGTGA